CCTGCAGTCAGCAGCTCGGACACGCGAGCGCGCCCCCTCGGAAGAAAATCTTGTGAATGAGCAGGTTCTCCATTCACTTTTAAACGGAGTGTAGAACTCGTAACGAGGCTCGACGCCTTCCATCTCTCTCTCTCTTTCTCACTATCTCACTATCTCCCTCCCTTCCTCCCTCCCTCTCTCTCTCTCTCTCTTTGTCTCTCCCATACACTCTTTCCCTTATGATCTATACTATCTCCCTCTCTCTCCCTCTCACTCTCTCTCTCTCTCTCTCTCTCTCTCTCTCTCTCTCTCTCTCTCTCTCTCTCTCTCTCTTTCTCTTTCTCTCATGATCTATACTCTTTCTTTCTTTCTTTCTCATATCATATTAGATCGTTAAATCCGATGGATAGATAGATCGATCGATCGATCGATCGATCGAATTTATCGATAAACAAAATGAGAAAATAGAATCGTAAACAAGCTTTGTGAGATTATCGTTAAAATTAGAAAGTTTATATTTAAAAAAGCAAGAGACAAAATTAAAAAAATAATAAAAAAAAAATAAAAAGAAAGAAAAAAAAAGGAAGAGTGAAGAAAAAGGAAAAGAAACAAGGAAAAAAAAATTAAAGACTGAAAAAACAAGACTTCTGTTATTTTACGATACGAGCTTGTACTTTTATACAATCTGACAAATAAAAATAAATTCAGTAAATAAATAAATAGATAAAATTGTTGTGAAAAAATGTCCAGAGAATGATCTTAAAAAAAGAAAAAGAAAAAAAAAGAAAAAAACAAAATAAATAAATAAATAAATAAATAAATAAATAAATAAAAAAATAGAAAAAGAAAGAAGTGTAATTGATTTGTAAATAATCATCCAAGTGATATTTTTCAGGTTCATCCTGTATAACAATCTGGACCAATCGTTGTCCTCGTCTCAATCTCATCTATTTTCTAATCTCTGTCTCTATCTCTCTCTCTCTCTCTCTCTCTCTCTCTCTTTCTTTCTCTATATCTCTATCTATCTATCTACCTATCTATCTCTCTTTTTTTTTTTAACTTCCTACGTTGAAAGAGTGAACAAAAACGACACTTTCGCACGTGCACCTGCAATTTATCAGGGCTTACAATCCAATGTTTCAGGAAACCAAGGCCAATTTCAGGAAGTAGTCGTTCGTTCTCATTCGCAATCTAACCACGAGATTAAACGTTGGGAATATATGGGAACACATTTGTGGATGCGTACGTACGTGCTAGAGCATAATGCGTATCACCACATGCCTACATACATACATATATATATATATATATGTAAAATTAAAAAAAGAAAAAAAAAATAGAAAAAGAATACGTCAAAAATTTTTAACAAATGTGATAGAAATTGTATTAGAAGAGAAGAATATTTTTTCTTTAGAAAGTTTTTTTTTTTTTTTTTTTACAAATTCAAAATACTTCGTTTCTTCTTTTTATTAAACCTTGTATATCAGAAAAATTTATACTTTTGATTTAATATTAATAATTCTATTTTTTTTTTCTTTCTCTTTGTTTTTTATTTTATTTTATTTTATTTTATTTTATTTTATTTGAATTATATGATTCCTACGTATGTGTGCGTGCGTGCGTGCCTGCGTGTGTGTAAAAGAGATAGAGAGAAAGAGAAGAGAGAAAAGTAATCTCGTATATCTTATCTTCTTTTAATTTTCTTCCTTATAATCCATATCAAAACATATATATATATATATATACATAATAAATATATATATATATATATATATATATATATATCGTCGTTCTTTCTAGAGCTTCTATTATCGGTACACTTTCTAACAAATACAATCATTATCGAGTTATTGAGTCATTACCAACGAAATTACTCGCTACGACATAATCGATGGCTATAACATCGATTCTCCCTCGAAAATCTTCATTTTCTATATACTCATCTCGTGACTCATAACATTGTAATATATAAGCCACGATGATGCATTTTCCTTTTTTATTTTCTATTTAGAAAATGAATAAAGAAAATTTTCCTTGAATTATATCATTTCAATTTAAAGACTTAGGCATTTAATTTAATGTCTAAAAAAAAAAGAAAAAGAAAATATATATATATATATATACTATCATCTATTGTCCTTATGTATTATACAATACTATTTGCTTTTACTAATCAATAAAATAATTATAAAAAGAAAATAATAATAATAATAATAATGAGACGTGCGTAAGTTTATACGAAATGAGAGTAAAAATGGAATGACGTATAAAAGATTATAAAAAAAGAAAAACATTAACTTTTATTCACGTCATGTACTATTACGTTGTAACCAAAACAACGTTATAATTTATTTTTATTAAAAAGGATCGAGTAATATTTGAAAAAAAAAAAAAAAGAAAGAAAAAAGAAAAAAAAATCATCACTATTTATCATTGTTACGTATAATTATAATACATATTGTATACTGCGAACGACATTACTATTTACTTTTATTACATAATAAATTAATTCTAAAAAGCATCACTTTTTCTTATCGTTATCTATTATACAATATGTATATATATATATATAAACGACATATTTACTTTCATTGAAAAAATAAAACAATAATTCTAAAAGAAAGAAAGCAAAAAAAAAGAAACGAATTCTAAAAGAAAGAAAAAAGAAGAAGAAAAAAAAATAATAATAAAAATAGTAATAAAAAAATATGATATAGGTCAAATTAATACGAAATTAAAAGAAAAGAAGAAATTGAATGGAAAATAAAGAAAGTGTAAAACAATAGTATTACGAATAATCTTTTACGATCGTCCTATAAAGAATCGTGATACTTTTTATCGAATTCATTTCACGATTGGAAAAGAATGAAAAAGAGATAGATAGAGATAGATAGATAGATAGATAAAGAGAGAAAGAGAGAAAGAGAGAGAGAGAGAGAGAGAAAGAGATCTCATTGGTAAAATGCCTCTTGCAAAATGATATTAGAGTTAGAATCGCTTAGCGGATAAGTCAACAAAGAAAGTTTTGCACATACACACACATATACACACACACACATAATACTTCCGATACGATTCATCGTCCTTTGTTTACGAGTGCGAGGCGTGCAAAAGAGAGTTCAGTTGTTCGATCCGTAAAAATTTTCGATTCACCTCTCTCATGAAGTAACATACTATCGTTGCGGCATCACGACCTAATAATAATATATTGTATTAGATGTGTATGTAGACGTATATAGATCTATATATAGGGTGACCCAAAAGGTTCCCAAATGGATTTTTTTTTTTTTTTCATATACATCCATTTATTACATGCTCTAGAATTATTCCTATTATTATCTTAATCTTTCCTATTATCTTGTAGACCTATTTATTTTCTTTCGTCGGATCGATTTACAAATTACAACGGCTATGTGAAAAATATATTTTTTTTTTATATTTCAACCTGTAAGAAAAAGAAAAAAAAAAAAAAAAGGAGAAAAAAAAGCATTGACTTGAAAATAATCTCAATAATGAGCTATTAGATTTTTGATCGTCCATTAGAAATTATATTGATTCACTCATATATACGCGCCTTTACGTGTTCATATATATATATATATATGTGTGTATAATAAAACGATGAAAGCTATAAGATTTGTATAAATCTTCGATATATATGTCATATATACATAGTCTATATATCTATCTACCTTTTTCTCTTTCTTAGACATAGAACATTACAAGAGGTCAAAGTTACACATCCGAGACAGCATTGCAGTTGTGAAACAACGGGAATGGAAAAATGCAAATGTATTCAATACATATATATCCACGCATATAATATGTATATAAGTAGCTTCCTTACCTTCCTATCTGCATTTATGTCGAAGGAACGAGATAATGACACATCTTGAGCTCTCGATATAAAATAGGGCCGTTCTAATTCTCTCTAATTCACGTACACACAAGATTTCCTTATCTCGAATTTCAATCGGCACGCTTTTCAAATCAACGTTTCACTATTACTACTACTACTACTACTATTACTTCTTTTATGTACTCATGTACATATTTATATATATATATCGACACATACATAAAATAGACTTTTCCAAGTCACGATCTTCACCACGATTATTTTCCACGATACCTTTTTAAACGCTTTTGTTTCGTGTATAAGATCGAACATATAAGACTTTAAGGTTATCTATCTTTTATATATCTAATTGCTTCGTTAATTAATATACTCGAATGAATGATATACCGATGTAATTAAATATATATGGACGTAAATAAAGAGATTCAAATGATAATGAAAATATTTCAACTTTACTTTCGTACGTATATATATATGTATATATACATATATATAAGTTTGCGCCATATAACCCTTGTTACTAATAAATTAAACGAATTCTTCGAAGACGTTACGTGTATGTATAACGATGTTTTCCATGAAAACATATTGTATATGGTTCCTCTTCGATTACTCTATATCCAGTACAAACTTCAACGTTTCTATTCTTATTATTTACGTATGACTTACAAATATATATATATACGCGAATTGCGAGAAAGTTCACAAGGAAAGTCGAACGTCCAGGTAATATAATGGCGTCGAATAAAGGAAAAAAAAAAGAGGAAAAACAAATGACTGCAGAACGAATAGATACTACGTTAATCAAATAAAATATTATCAACGTTTGAATTCGTACTCATACGTAAAGGCGGGAAATACGTGGATATACGAAATTAATATTCGAATATCGAATGAAGAAAGAAATTTAATACGTCAAAGGGAGGGGGGAAGAAAAGGGAAAAAGGGAAAAAGTCATACGAACGTGATTAATATACGATGTCAAATATGATTTTGATTTATCCAGAATACGATTTATTATTATCTCGAAAGTTTTGTTTGGTATCTGACCTTCGACCAATCGCTAAATCCCTAATACATAGATTATATACGGATTATGACGATCTAATATAAAAAGAAAAAAAAAATGTATGTAAACATTAAATGATATACATATACTTACATGAATGCGTTGTCTAGCAGAGCGAGGATCCTCTAAAGCGATTGGCGTAGTCGATTAACACCCGCGAGAAAAATCGCATGAGCCACACCGGAATATTATTATCTATATATATACATATATATGTGTGTATGTATATACATATACATTTATATATAATATAATATATATATATATATATTTAGGTATATTCACCGAACCGAGGGTCGGGAAATGCGTATATCGTGCGTCTAACCTCTTCGTCGAAGCAAACACGAGCGGTAGGTCGGCTCTGTCACTATGATTGCTACTCGAACGCCTACATCACGAAATTTCCCGAGAGCAACGAGCGTGTGTGAATTGAGTCGCTCGATTAGTGATCTTCAGACAAAGATAGATAAAAAGGGAGAGAAAGAGAGAGAGAGAGAGAAGAATAAAGTAGAGTAGAGTAAACTAGAGAAGAGAAAAAAAAAAAAGAAAAGACGGCGTCGCGACGCAAAGGCGTCGTCTTCGGTTACGAGTGGGGGATGATTAGGCTGATCGAAGGAACGAAAAAGAGCCAAAGAAAAAGATGAAAATCTTCAATTAAAGACAAATTCCTACTTCGTCGTTTTCTTCAAATTCAAACTCTTCCTCTTTTGGCATCTGCGTAAGGTACGTAAACGATGTCAACTATGAGGATCGCCGTTATCTATCTCTGTGTATATATTCTCTTTTTCTCTTTCTCTTTCTCTCTCTCTCTCTCTCTCTCTCTCTCTCTCTCTCTCTCTCTTTCTCTCTTTGTATATGCGCGCCTCGCGTAATCCGAGAGGATCCGTTCGTAAAGCCGCGCTCTTGAACCTTCGCGTCCCAAGCAGAGACTGAAGCGCCTACGTGCAGTCCACCCGTATAAATGCCGCGTTTTCAAAGTCGAGCTCGAGATCACTGCGTCTCCGATTGGTCGATGAGCTCCGACAATATGTTTCAGAGGGCGCCAATGAACGAAGCGGACGAACGAACGCGATGAGTCGATAAATAAAAACACTATTGATATCTATCCAGCGGTCGGTAATGTAGTAACCTTTCTTTTTCTCTTTATTCTTCATTGATTTTTAACATTAGAAAAATCATTAAAATTTTTATTCGTTCTATCATTTAATTTTTAATTTACAATTGTTATATAACCTCATGAATATGTAATTATTTTAATATTTTATCTTTTTTTCAATATCGTTTTGCATATGTTTCCTATTAGAAAAAGCAGGTGTATTGGTTCATAAAGCGGAACTCGTATCGTCATGGAAACATACATGCTACGCACAGTCGTTCGATTTCATACTTACAATAAAGATCGAAACTGGTGCTTTGAAAAGTTTTCTCTATAAAATTATCGAACGTTTCTATAAATAATATATATATATATATATATATATATATATATATATATATATATATATATATATATATATATATATATATATATAAACAAGACGTTAGGGTAATTTACCTTACTCGATGATATGAGTACGCAAAATGAAAACGATGAGAACGTAGAAGGAGAGAAGTCCAACTTGAATTTAAAAAAGATTCAAAAATCGAAATGTTTTAAGAGTTTTGTGAAATTAAAACATCAGGAATACATTTTAGAAAAAGGACTCGTTAATTTAATAAATAATATGAAACTCGACGGTGACGTTATTAAAAATTTATCTAAAGAAGAAAAGGAACTGTCCGCTAAGAGGTAACTTTGATATTTATTATTTCATTTTTTATTACACCTTTTTTTTAACCTTTATTTTTGTATTACATAGAGAAAATGTATTATCAATTCTATGTAAAACGGTTTTCGATATCAATGACGATGTGAAAAAAGTCAAAATGATCATATCCGATCCTGAAGAAATTCAACAACTAGGTAATAGATATAAGACAAATTTTTTTTTTACTTTAATCGAACATTATTTATGTTGTTTTTAGATATAAACGAATTTAAATCTAAATTGATCGAAATTTCAAAAAAATTAAACGATTTTAAAAAAACTTGTCCTCTTCAAACATTGTCAGAAGATGGAAATAAATTGGATTCCGATCTAAAAGAATTTTCATCGCGTTTACATAAATATAATACAGTGAATAAGACGATAAAATCATCAATCATAAATTTATCGTCATTTGACAAGGATAAAAAAAAAAATCACGAGGATTACGAAGAGATCGAAGATTTCCATGCGTTGATTGTTAAAACCGGTATTTATTACGTCAATTATTCAACTTAAACGTTTAAAATTTTTTACGATAGATATTTTAATAAAAATTTTGTTTAATTTAAAGGTTATACGCAACATTGGAGCGACGAGGATCATTTGTTCTTTTTAAAGATGAGAAAAAAATATAAAAACGTGCCTGCATTAGTTAACGCCATTAAAACGAAATGTCCAGATATGTCGATAGAAAAAATAATAAATCACGAAGCTTGGTACAAATTATATCTTGAATTACGTGAAAGACAGAGATTAAAGATAAACGAATGGCGAAAGCGTAAAGAATTGAATAAAATGAAAAAATTACAAAACGTAAGAACTATCGACAAGGAAAATCAACGATCTGAAATTTCGACGGATCATTTAGAAAAAAATATGATTAACGATAAAGATGAAAGATCCGACGCAATTATCAATGAAAATATTAATAAGAAGGAATTGATTAAAAAGTGGAAATTAGAAAGAGAAAACAAACGGATTATGGAGGAGGAACAATCGAAATTGCGATTAGAATCCAAACGGGTTTTGGATGAGAAACGTGCACGAATTAGAATGGAAACAATACGGGAAAATTTGCGAGATTATAGGAATAAAAAATCAATGGACGAATTTTTGGATAATACGAAAAAGGATATAAAAGGTACGAAAGAATATGATCCCACGTTGATCAAAGAATTTAGGTATGTATCTTTGTATTACGCAACCAGCAGGAAGAGTCTATTATTTTATTTAGAAATAATATCAATTAAATTTTTCTAATTCAAATTAAATAGAAAACAGGATGAGGAATATATTCGAAAAAGAAGGATATTAATTTCGCGTACGGACAAAATTCAACAAAATAAATTTACGATCTCGCGAAAATATAAATTAAATAAATATCCTTCGACATTGTGCGAACCTACAAAAGCATGGCAAGAAAAATGTAAAATTGAGGATTTCAAGAAGAAGAATAATCAAGAAGTACGATATATTAAGGATATACCAAAACTGTAAGTGATTTAATATTAGTTCATTTCATTACCTACCTATTCTTTGTTCTTTTTTTTTTTTGCCTTGCAGATATACACGATGGAGAAACGAAGAGTCTATAGATTTACAAAATTATTTTGCATTGTGAAAAAACAATCGTGTATTTTTTACAAAAATTCAATACTTACTTGAAACTCCTAGTTTTCCTTTTGTTCTTTAAGTACACGAAAGAGTTCACTGTCAACACTGAACATTCATTATGAATTAATTGCAATAATAAATCTCAGCACTATATATATATATACATATATATATATATATACATATATGTACAACACTCACGCACGCACGCATATGAAAGCTTTTATTATAAAATAATTCAAAATATATTTCTACATGCATTCTATGTGCAAATTCTATTTTAAATACAAAAGCAAAGTAAATAAACGAATGCTTAATTTTACATATAAAAAAAAAATATATATATATATACATATATATACACTGATAAAAAGAAAAGCAATTTAATACAAAAGTTAAGATAAGCAAATTAGGTAGGTTCCAAAAAAAAAAAAAAAGGGTTAACAGGATGAAATGAGCCGAACGATTGATATATACTTATGTTTATTTTTCTTTACGAACGTACCTTTTTTGTTAATTTTTTTTTCTTTTTTTTTTTTTTTTTTTTTTCCTTTCAGACGATGTATATAATAAGTTATGAGTAAACGAACGTTGAGTTTATCCAGGACAGTCTGTTATTGGTATAATTAGCTTTACAACTATGTAATAGTTTCCCTCCACACCGCTTTCTAAATACATTACCTGATTTTCTAAAACACAATAGGGGTGGGGGAGTAAAAGGATAATTTTTTAATCTGGTCATGGATAACACCAACACTCGACGCGGCTTTACTCAAATATATAATATACTTTCTATTAACCTTCTGTTCGTTAATCCGATATCCTTTTCGTTTAGATTACCAAATACAAAAACATAGGTGATACAATATATATATATATATATTTATATATATATATATATAGATGTATGTATATTATATATATATATATAGTGTTATAATACAAGCGTGCCCCTCGTATTGTGCTGAGTACGATAAAACGGATTGTGACGTTAATATTTCTCGCGATAGATCATCATTACGCGGCACGATACGGTAGCATCTTCCATTTTGTCGAGATACTTACGAATATATTTCTTAGAACGTATTTTCATTCTCTTTATACTATGTATATATGTGTATATATATATATGTATATGTATATATATATATACATATTCATATTTATACATATATATGTATATATACGTATATATATATATATATATATTTTATTTATTTATTTTTTTTTTTATATATGTACGTAGAAATATAATTATTTAGAATTTATAATGTATATCTTCTAAGAGTTTTATTACAACGAGCAATAAATTGTTTAATGAGACCCACTATAACCACGTTTTTTTATCTTTCTACACAAAGATAATTCAGTCGTTCCTTCTCACATTTCCTCTTATACATTCTCTCTCTCTCTCTCTCTCTCTCTCTCTCTCTCTCTCTCTCTCTCTCTCTCTCTCTCTCTTTTTTACACACACACACACACACGCACAGAGCAGATAGACAGACTGACAGACACGCATGCACAGACACACTCGCGCTTTCTTCGACTCGTCTCCCTAATATTTATCTCAATTAATAAATATGTACACGCGAACATTTGTACAACATCGTCTTATAACCCCCACGCATCTACTCTCTACCACCAGTCCCTCCTACATAGTTATTATTTGCTTTATTCATTGATTCGATTTTTTTTGCTTTATTCATTGATTCGATTCTCTTAAATATTCTCTCTCTCTCTCTCTCTCTCTCTCTCTCTCTCTCTCTCTCTCTCTCTCTCTCTCTCTCTCTCTCGTTCTGATATCTTTAAAAGATCCATGCTCACCATTCGCTTCTCTCTCTCTCTCTCTCTCTCTCTCTCTCTCGCTCTCTCTCTCTCGCTCTCTCTCTCTCTCTCTTTCTCTCCATTTTGCTCGAGAAAAAAAGAAAAAAAAAAAAGTCACCCCCCAACGAGAGATCTATTTTCGAAATGCGTGGACTTTGAAGTCTGTTTTCTTTCTTTTTTATCTTTACTTATTTATTTATTCATTTTATTTTTTCTAATTTTTTTTTTTTTCATTATCTTTATCGAACGGACGATTGGGATCAATCGGGGGAAAAAAAGTCCGCGACCGCTTTCGTAACGAACGCAGTGTCTACGAGTTTGTTTAGAAGATGAAGTAAAATGAGATTTAAAAAAAAAAAAAAAAAAAAAAAAAAGACAAAGAAAAGGAATATAGAAATAAAGATAAAAAAAGAAAACTAAGAAAAAAAAAGAATAAATAAAAAAAAAAAAGAAAAAAGAAAGAAAAAGAATCTCATTGCGCACTTTCAAATGCAATCCCGAAACGACTCTAATATCCCTTAAGCGACGTTATGTAGACGAAGATAGATTAGATTAGATTAGATTAGATTAGATTAGATTAGATAGACGATAGACGATAGATGATAGACGATAGAAAATGAAGAGTTAATAAAAGCACCACCCTTTCTTTTCTTATCGTTGTTCCGTCGTCTCTTAAGCTCTAAGCATTGCACGCTCTTTTTTTTCTTTCTTTCTTTCTTTCTTTCTTTCTTTTTTGAGGACGGTTAAGATTTCAACAATGAGATCCTGATTCGCGAGTCTTATTTTTAAATGTAGGATATACTTATTTCATTCTCGATCGTCGGAATTCAATAATCGAGAACATTTACAAAGTATGTCTTTAAAGTGCCTCATCTCTAAGTCACTTTTTCTTTTTCATATTTGATATATCTCTCCCTTTTTCTTTCTCTCTCTCTCTCTCTCTCTCTCTCTCTCTCTCTCTCTCTCTCTCTCTCTCTCTCTCTCTCTTTCTCTCCCTCTCTCTCTCTCTCCTTCACCCTCTCAACCCTTTTTCTTTCCCTTCATACATATTGCAAACATAATAATATTTTTTTGCTTTAAAGCTGAGCTTTTTCGAGTGTGAAGCTCGAAAGAGAAAAAATTTTAAGATTAACGTGAAAAATATATAATTATAATAGAAAGCTAAAAATGAAATATATATATATATATAAAATTAAAAATACGTACGTACGAACTACTTTGTTCTCTCTCTCTCTCTCTCTCTCTCCCTCTCTCTCAAAAAAAAAAAAAAAAAAACCGATATATAGAGAAACACAAAGTTGACGTAGTAGTTATCATCGTACACCCAATTAGATAGTGATCAATTAGATAGATTAATTTACTTACTGATTTCATATATCGCGTTTAATTAATATAGAATCATTATTATTATATTACAAAAGCCAGCCCCCGCCTCTCTTTTACACAGTCTTAGATTGCGCGAAACAACGTCGAAAAGGAGAAAGCTTCGTAGAAAACATTCATTTTTCTTTTTTTTTTCTTTTCTTTTTTTCTTCTTTTTTCTTTTTTTTTTTTCTTTTTTCTTTTTTTTTTCCTTTTTTTTTTTCATTAAAGGAGGTTCGCGCAATAATAAATGGATTAGATCCATTAATATCATACATCTATTCGACGCGTGAGATTCTTACGTGGATCAATCGTGGATAATTCATGGATATATTATTATAATTATTATCAAGAAATGCAATGAAAAAAATCATCGAGAGAATGAGATATATATATATATATATAGAGAGAGAGAGAGAGAGATAGAGATAGAGATAGTGATAGAGATAGAGATAGTGATAGAGATAGAGATAGAGATGGGGAGAGAGAGCGAGAGAGAGAGAGAGAGAGAGAGAGCAAACGAGAAAGAAATGGAGAAAAAAAATGAAAAAAAAGAAGAAGAAACGCACAGAGTTGATACATAATTTGATGAATTTTTTTTTTTTTTAATACGATCCACGTATGATCTCTTGACGCGTCTCGACGCGTTATTCTTCTTATGATTTAAACGAATAAATCCTCGTGATTTATGTTTACTGTCAAATTTATTGACGAGAATAAGAGATGAATGTACATATCCGGGATCCAATTTGAAGAGCGTGACTTCTTCCTTTTGCTTCCTTCCTTTCTTTCTTTCTTTCTTTTTATTTTTCCTTTTCCATTCCTAACATTTTTCTCTCGAAGTTTTTGCATCTTTTTTCTTATTCCCTAACAAATCAATTGCAACCAAAGACGAACGTAGTATTACCATTCCGTGATATTATGCGTTCGTTAACAAAGTTTGCGCGGACTGATTTAGATCCATATTTAGGAGAGCAAAAATGTACAGGCTTCGAAAGATCAATTATTTATAAATGCATACCATTTTTTTCTTACTCTCACACTTTCGCTCTTACATTCTCACACATCTTCACACATTCTTTCTCTGTCTCTCTCTCTCTCTCTCTCTCTTTCTCTTTCTCTCTCTCGTTCGCTCGCTCGCTCGCTCGTATGCTCTTTCTTTTTTTTTTTGAATGATCGAATGAGAACGCTTTTTCTCGAAAGAACAAAAACAAAAAAGAATAATAAGAAGATAGCCTGAAAAAATTGTTCGATAATAACGAGATGGATAATCGCCGAAGTTATTTGCCACGAAATTGGCTCAAATCGATCTATAATATATATATATATATATATATATATATATATATATATATATATATATATATATATATATATTAATAATTTTCTCCGTCCCATGTCGGTATTTCGCAAGGATAATAACAACGCGCGACTAAATGACCTAAGATATGATCAATCACATATATTAACACGTGATTATATCTAATATCTTAATATTCGAATGTGTACGCTCGTGAAAATTACATTATACATCTAAATGGTGTTCGAGTTTGATTTAATCGATAGACGAAAGTTCGCAGTGTGTGGTCCATTTCGATGCGAGAAATTCGATCGTCCGAAATATCAAGTTATTTTTTTTCTTTTTTCTTTTGTCATCGTGAACGTCGTCACTGTCATCGTTGTCGTCATCTTCGTCATCGTCATTATCATCTTCATCTATGTCTTCTATGTCGTCGTAGTCGTCATCGTTTTCGTCGTCGTCATCGTCTTCGTCGTTTTGTGTGAATAATTTTTTTTAGTCTATAAATGTATAAAAAAGATTAATTATAATATCCTGGAGGAAAGAAATACACATTTGATCTGCCTCCATCTTACGTCTAACATCACAGCTGCCTCTTTTGTTCTTTTCTTTCGTTCGATTAATAATTATTATCGATTATTATTCATCGTACACGTTATTTCTACGAAATATCCGTGATATTCCGTACAGACCGATTTTATTATTCCGTTTTAATCTTC